CCAACTAGCCATCTAGTTAGCTAGATATATAGATAGTCAAACTAAATGGTACATGAGACATACTTGGCACGATAAATCAGAAAAAAAAATTAAATCTGTAAAAAGGTAAATGCTTTAAAAGCAAAGTATATATCTTTTGAATGGAAACTATATTTTCAAGACATAAATTAACTTAAACATAAATAAGAAAGTAGAATGTAAAATTACCAGTATAAATTACCATTAATGTTCATAAAATAAAGGTCAATGGTCAAACATTAACCTTTAATATTTATCTATTTGTTTATTTTATTCATTTGCAGTTCAAAATGAACATGTCACATGCTGACATAAGCACGTTTTGAATAAAATATATTATGTAACGTTACAGAAAAGATGCACTTGTTAAGCCAGTAAACATTTACAGAACCACAATCTAACAAGCAATACAGCCTCATCCCAAACCATGAGCCTTAAGAACTTTGACATTGACCCCTTATATGTGAAGCATAAATCTATCAGTAGTTAAAACACCAGCCTGATGGCTCCTCATGGTCCAATCATGAGCTATTGAAACCAATTACTGTTATTACTTTACGACCTCAGTACTTAATAGTTTTCCAGCCCCTTGAAGTAGATTTACTACAGTAAAGCTGGATAACGCCAACCACTGAGGACAGAGCGAGTTTTTGTGTTTGAGTGCCTGCCTCAATGAGCATCTGTCAGCTGACCCCAGAGGGACTGTGAAGGAGGACGGCAAAAGGAGAGGGGTGTGTGTCTGAGGACCATTGTTCCTCGGCACAATAGCGTGAGTGAAAAGATTTGCGGCAGTCTTTGCAGCAGCCCCTCGGTATCCATGGAGACAGCTAGCGAGCTACAATTGTCCCCAGGCTATTTTTTTTTCTTTTTTTCCAGTGGCATCAGGGAGGAGACGAGAGAGGGGAGCATGAGCAGGGAGGAGAGGGAACGGTTGTAAGCGTCTGTGGGTTTGTTCGACGTTCAGCGTCCGTCGCCTTTCAGCTCTCATTGTCATAAAATGCTACAAAGTGACGAGTCATGATGGACGGCGAGGGGAGAAGGAGACATCTGATTTGTCTTTCTTTCTTTCTTTCTCTCAAAGAACAACTCAACGACTTGATACAGGAAAGCACCGACTTACTTTTTTTGTAACTTCATTCATTTCTTTGTCTGCACTGCTGATCAACAGGAACCAATCAGGAATAACAATTTTCAGCCAGATAGAAGCAACAACACTCTTTGGTGCAAAAGCGTTTCCTGAGTGGTATTTAGAATAAAGAGGATTTTTGAGACTTGAGAATGGAAAGAACGCATTTTATTTATTACTCCTCTTCAAGAAACAAATAGTTTTATTTTTCTCTCCCGTAGCGTCCCTTACAACTTTGTGTGTATTGCCAATTATGAAAATTAGACTATTACACGGGGATGAGCATCTTTTGACTGATTGCTACATCCTCACTGGAAGTGGTAACACATAGTAAGTCATGCTAACATTGCTGACCGCATAACAAAAGGCTGAACTTAAAAAATGTGAACTGTAATCACTTTGTCTTTGTTTTGGAGTATCCAAAAGGTTCTATTTCTTAGACGGAAATCTGAAGTGGCTAAGTGACGTATCAGCAAGTCAAACCGCTGCCAAATTCAAGCCGTCATTCAAGCTGCTCATGTGATTTGGTTAAATTGACATAAATATCACCGTCTAGTTGTCTACATTAGATATCGACGATAATGATCTCTTCTCAAGTATCGATACCACAGCCTTACTAGAGTCAGTTTAAGCTTTGTGCTGAGTGCATTTTGCAATAGAAAACTCAATATAAGTGTAAAATCAATAAGATTTGTTCAAGATTGTGTTTCAGTTTTAACAGAGTCTGAAAAGGTCTCCTTAAAGTAGCTACAGTAGGGCATTCAATCCAGGAGTACGATCAGCACGATTCATCACCGACATCTCGGTCAAAATTAGCAACGGAAAACATTTGGATCTGGTGGACAAAATCACACCAGCTAACCAAAAATCCAGATTTCAAAGCTTCATACCCCAAATACATAAATCAACATCTACGTCTTCCACTGATACATAATTTCCTCCACTCCTCTGTCCTGCAGGCTGCTACCTTGGTGCCGCTGTAGTAGTCGTCCGCAGTGACGGCGTTCATGAAGGTCTCCTCCAGGTGGACGCTGGTGTCGATGCCCCCGGGAAGCACCAGCTTCCCCGAGGCGTCGATCACTTTGGCTCCTCCGGGGATCATCAGCTCCTTCCCCACCTGCTGGATGATGCCGTTCTCGATGTAAACGTCGGCCTCCTGCGTGCAGTCGTCGTTCACCACCTTGCCGCCCTTCACCAGGATCCGCGCCATTGCTGAGCTGGAAGACATGGCTATCGCTCTGCAAAGAGAGGAATGCACACGCGTTCAGGGAGAGTTGAAGCGCCTTTCTGGTGAAAAGTGTGGCAACCTTGGTCCAACTACACCGAAAGACCAAAAAAAAAAAGCTCCAGACGAGGTACCTCATTCTGAGACAGTCTGAGGAGTTTAACGAGGAGAGAAGAAGCTCTGGGATGCTACTCTGCGATGGGTCTGTCACGCTGTGACTGACATCAGCCACAGCGCTAAGAAGGCTGTGTCAGTCACCGCCTGAAACCTGACGTACCGTCACAGTGACGCAGCGGGAACAGAAAGAAGCCGAGTCCGGTCGTAGGTCACAATGAGGCGAACAAGGGTCAATAAGGCCATTATTATATGGAAAAGGACAGCCAGTCATACAGCAACGTACAATGACCTGCATCGCACTGGGATAAATCTGACAAATATGTCCTTACAAAGCTGAAATGTGTATGCACATTTCTGTCTTTTTTGGCGTGGCGACCAAAATCTCAACAAGAGTTGACGAACTAGCTACTTGTTAGTTAGTTAGTTAGTTAGTACAGGTAATGCAGTCATCAAGTTAGAAAACAAATGATTATTTATGCCATAAAAACATAAAAGGACAAAATGACTGAACACCTAACTTCAGCAAGTCAATAAAGTTCTCAATAAAGGGCTAAAGTAAAATTCAATACCAAAATTTAGTAGTTAATGTCACTAGATTCTGACCATTATGGCACATCAACTGTACAATTATGTTGCACGTTTGAAATTTGATTCAATTTTAAAAGATGACTAAAATTCACTGCCGTCCAAAAGTCATTTTTATAGTGCACTGTTTGTAATTTCCTCCTAAAAATGTCATTTTCTGCTTGACTCGAGGAATGACCAGCCGCCCTGCTTGAATTTAGGTTAAGCTCCTCGATGAAACATGAGAAACAAAGCAGCGAGTCTCCTGGGCTCCTCCTGCGCCCTGGCTGCCTGCCTCCCATCTCCTTCCCTGCGCATCATCTGCAGCGGGGATGACGCCGTGGAGCTGCCGCGTGGACGCGTGGGGATGCCGTGTGCCCCGCCAATGCGCGCTTGCGTGAAGTCCGGGACGCGTGCGTCTGAGGGTGCGGCAGGTTTACCGCAAGGCATGGCACTCATTTTCACGCTTCCAGATCTGACGCCTGATGGTGGGAGAGGTTCTGGAGGATCCGCCAAGAACCTCCGCTGTCGGGTCGAGCTGCGCTGTTCCTCCGCCGTGATCTCACTTCTTATTTTGGCGTTATTGTTGTGACGCAGAAGTTGTTTGAACGCGCCTCTTTAAAGAACGTTAGGAAATCGACTTACTGTAAATAAATATTCGTTTAAATGTGATCGAATTCAAGCCCGACTTTTATTTTTGGTTTTGACTTCATTTCTGCACGCACACGCGTAAATAAATAATAATAATAATTAAGAAAAAAAAACGCCCCGCTCCCACTTTCAAGCTATAAATAATTCCTGTAATATTATGCAGATTAGCCTGGTTTGGTCCAGGCGTAGTCAAAGTGATGACACATGACACAAAGAAACTGGTCCCTCTCCATCATGATGAGCCGCACGGCCCCGCATCCAGGACTCCAAGCCCCGCGCGGCTCACTGCGCTCCCTCTTCGCAGTGAGGTGATAAAGTGGCCAGACATTAATTAAACCCTGCGGCCCGTCTGGACGGACGGAGAAGGTGTGGTTGAGCTCCAGGGTGTGAACGACGCCGTGGAGCCGCCGGGGAACAGGGAAGAGGGGACAAAAGTGTCCGGTGGTGATTGCAGCCCGCTGGCCTTAATAAAAACGCCAATGCGTGCAGCACATACCTCCAGATTGGGCCTGTTGCAGCTGCTCCAATCCGCGCTCTGGCTACTTTCTGACCGGAACAGAAGGCAACACAATCCGTGGACGGCCCTTCCCAAAGCAGATACACCACACACACACACACACCAGATGGATACCTTCCCGGCCGGTCTGGGACCAGCACACCCGCAGCAGCATCAGCGTCAAGTCAGCGAAGCGGATTGAACTGAAACGTCCGATGAACCCCTTCACAAGAAAGGTCGCATGAAATCAAACGCTGTGCTACGTCATGATTCGAAATGAATGGCGGACTTTCAGGGAGACACGGAAATAAATTAATCTCATTTTGCGAGGCGCAATTTACGTTCGAGCTTCTGGAATAAAAACGACGGACTTGTAATTTAAAATGCAACGTTGCAAACACTAATTAATGTTCTTTAGGTGACTGTTGTTGGTTTAGACAGCTGAATTTACACAAAAACTTAAATATTAACTGGTCAAATAAGATTCATGTCGTAGTTAAACCATAAAAAAACTAACAAACAAACCCTAACATTTTTAGAATTGTATATATATATTTTTTGTCGGTAAAATAAGTACCGCTACCTGTCATAATCATTACCGTTGATCCACAAACAATTGCGGCTACAAAAGGCAAAGCTCTGTCAAGGAAGAAAACACGGTCATTTAATTTCCCACATAACTTATAAAGTTCTGCCTTTTATTTTGTAGCAGCAAACCTTTTCGGCCGGTGGCGACTTGTGTGTGTTTTGTAGCAGGCCTTCCATGCGCCGCAGCATCCGCGCCGAGAGACGAGGTGACGCTCCAACCAGCGGCGCTGCGTGAAGGCTGGTCTCCCCAACAGCCAATCACAGCAAACGTAGGGCGCTGCGTGAAGGCTGGTCTCCTCAACAGCCAATCACAGCAGACGTAGGGCGCGTCCACTCAGGGGAGGCTGTACCATTATCATGCGAGGAGGGAGATGAGAGGCGAGCATCACTGGTAGAACATTTTATCTGAATGGCTTTGGCTAATGGGCTGTAAAAAAAAAGTTAATAACTGTTTGTATTCTCTTCCTGCCGTGAGTAGTTGTGTTGTGAGTAACAGGACTCTTTATTATTTAACATTTATGTATATTTTCCTTGTTGGCTTGTGAGTGTAAGATTTCTTCGACTGTACTATTTTGCAGTCCTTCATACTGTCAAGTTGCCCAGCAATGCTTTGCGTTTATATTAGGAATGCATATATATATTATGTTTTTACAGTGGTGAGCAAACTCCCAGAAATGTGACCTGGGGAATTTGTTGTTGTTCACTTAAACATATCCTAAAGCCATTGACAACAATAGATTTTTACTGATACTTTATGAGATACACAAAAACAACATACTGTCAGTGTTGAGGGAGTGGCTGGAGGGGGGGGGGGGGGAGAATTCAAACTTTTCAGATTTATTATACTAAAAAAAAGGGACATTGTTAATAATATATTTAGTTTGGGTCTCTTTTATAAAATCCCATTAAAGTACATTTACTTGTTTTCGCAAACATTTGAACTGTCCATCTAAAAAAAACAAATGATGAACCTGAGGGGTGGACGTAGCGTCAGGGCAGAGTCACAGTAGTTCCTGCACACACACAGATCACTCTTCTGGAAAACGACACACTCCACCTGCTCCGAGTAGCTAGGAGACACAAACAGCTTTGAATCTTTCAATTGTCAGGGCTCTAATTTAGGAACGTGTGCACAAATAAATACAAGTAACAAAACATTTGAAGCAAGCAAAAACACGTGTCACAGTGAAAATCATGAAAGTGCACAAGAGGCCAACCGATGTAAATCTCAAGAACTCACCCTCAGAGTGTCTGCACACAATTCAGCCAGTCACTTCAGCGTGTTTATGTTCCTGACAGTGATGGAGGTGAGGAGGTTTCAGTGTCTGGTGTCTGTCAGACGGGAGGAGGGGTGAGTGTGAGTTTGAAAGTGATCGGCTCCTCAGCCGTCATTGTTTGACCCGTTTCCACGTTGCTTTTTATACCACCTCTAAATCTGAATCTGTCGCAAAAGACAATATTGGTTTAGTCTCATTCAATACCACATCAGTTATTGTGTACAACGTTGGACATAATTCCTAACTTTCTGGAAGTTTTCAGTGTGTGATTATGCCACTGCAATTCGAGAAATAAAACAATTTTCAAAATTGTTTTGGCACTAACGCTGCTATTAAATGTGTTAAAATCCAACCAAACCTAGAGCTACTTTTTATAGAAGACTGCAAGCGTTATAGAACTGCTTTGAGTCATGTGCAAAAGACACAACAGGGGCGTCACAAACAGTGGGGAATTTAATGAGAATTGTTTTCTGTACTGTATCTCTAAAAGTGTTTTAGCGTTGCTCACTGTAAATAAACTTTTTGCACATTAAAATGAGTTAATATTTTGCCTGTATGATCTAAAAGGAAGGAAAATCAAGGTTTCATTCTTGAACAATTAAGAAAATAATCTCAACTATAAAATGGGTGAAAAGTTAAGGTTGTAAAAAATGTATTTAGTACTAACAGATGAGGTGTAAACCTGGGGCCACTGGATCGTCTGCCTTTTAGTCCTCAATCCTCTGTGTCTTCTCTCTTCTGATTGGTCCACTGCTGTTGTTTTGTCTCAGTGAAGCTGGAGAATCATCACATGATCAGACACGCATTCCTTAATTTCTGTCTAAATGACGGATTATTGAAAGAGACTTTCTGATCAAGTCATCATCATGTCCTCACCCTTTCCCAGTATGTTACAACCAGTAGAACAGCAGGCGGAGCAGGTCTTCTTCTTTAATTATTGGTCAACTCACGTCAGGCAACATGAGTTGACAGAGAAATGAAATCCAAAGGAAAGACAAAAGGGTTAACAAATAGAATATACATGGACAGAAAGAAGAACAATTTTGAAATTTGACCTCAATTTCACCCATATTTAAAATGAAAATACGTTTTCTTACTTTTTTTGTCAACTGGGTTCTCTTATCTTCCTCCATCTGACTGGTGGTGTTGAAGGTGGAGGATTACAGGCTGAGGAGATCCAACCTGGGATGATCAGAGAATCTGAGTTCTCAGAAGTCTGAACCTGGATCAGAGACTGGTTTGAGTATTTTTTAATACCCAAACTTCTTCTTTTGTGATTTTTCTGTGTTGTAACACATGAACGTGCTATTGGCCATATTAACTATTTGTTTCATGAGATTAATAGTTTATCTACGTAAAACTTTACTCCACATGCTCCCCATTTCCTTTTCTCCGATCCTGTTCTGTCTGAATAAAAGTTCTTAATTAAATCCTTCAATCATAAATTCTGTCGATGTTTTCTTTTGTCTTCTAATTTCTTATTGTCCCGATGCTTTAATTTGGTTTCTGATACAACATATTGTCAGGCAAGCAGTCCTCACTTAATGTAAATTTTAGTTCTACGTGGTTGAATAATTTCTAAATTACTAATAGTGAATTTCTATTTCTAATTTTCTTTAGTAAAGCTGATGTTCCCCAACACCAGCAGTAGGCAAGCAGTATCATGTGAATCTGGAATGCAAAAACTTACAAGCAGTATGAAAAACAAGCGGTCCAGAAGGACAGGAACCACATGGACAACGACAAAAGGATCCAACGATGAGCTGCTAAAACCTGAAAGATTAAAAACTTGGAGAGCGGATTAGTGGAGGAATAGGATAGAATAACTTACTATATTGGAGAGCACCGCGTGGGGAGGAGCCGCTATTTCCCCCTGAAACATGGGGGATTTGAGCGGAAATCACAAAGATTAAGAAAACTCCGGTGCACAGCACTACCTAAGGCTTCCACAGGCTTGCTAGAAACCCATTGACTGATAAAGAGAGAAATGATGACGTCCTAATGTGACTTCCCACATAGGTCTTCAGTTTTAATGGATCCCAATCTAATCAGAGTCACTTGACAAAACATAGCGAGGTCTAAACCACACGGAACTCACTCTAGCTGTAATTCCACCAGAAGTTGAAGGTGTTGGCTCCTCTTCTATGTCCCCTTCAGGCTCAGTCCAGAAAAAGAAGCCAGGAGATAACAAAGTTGAATTTTCCCAGTGTGTTGATGGTGAAGGACTGAAAACCCGGGGTGACAGAATGGGATTCTCACAGTGCGTCAATTGTGAGGGACTGAAGTCAGGGGAAGAGAGATAAAGATTCTCATGGATCGTCTCTTGTAAGGGACTGAGGACGGGGGAAGACAAAACAGGATCCTCACACGATGTCCTTGGTAAGGGACTGAGAACAGGGGATAACAAAATGGGATCTTCATGGTCTGTCTTTCGGTAAGGAATGAACAGAGGGGTTGACGGAATGGGCTTGTCCTCCCATTCTTTACCACATCTCCATGCCATCCTCTTGCCGATTCTTTGAAGGACCTCTTCCCAACTGGGATCATCACTATACTTGGTCGTCTTGGCGGGGAGCTCCTCTTCACCAATACTGTCCCTGGTCTTCTTGGCGGAGATCTCCTTTTCAGCAAGAGTGTCCTTACTCCTCTTGGCTGGGGGCTCCTCTTCAGCAACAGTGTCCCTGGTCCGCTTTGAGGGGAACTCATCATCACAATCCCTGGTCCACTTGTTGGAGTCAGTAACAGTGTCCCCAGTCCTCTTGGCTGGGAACTGCTCTTCACCGTCACTATCCACTGTCTTTCCGTTTATACCAGTCACAAATGTCACATGAGTCGCATCCTCTTTCAAACCTACCTGATGACTAGGATTTGATGTTGGGTCATCCTCCTTCACATCAATCTCCTTCTTCGTAGTTTTCCTGGCATGGCCAAAAGTCAAAGAAGCCACTAAATTTTTCCAACCTGCCAGAGGTTGTGAGGAGGCACTAATAGGACTGGAGTCCTCTGGATGCAAAATGGGCTCTTCTTGTTTGTCAAGTTCAGATGTGAATTTAAAGCTGGAAGGAAGCACAGTACCAAAACTAAGCTTTGATGGTGAGCTGTCCTCCTCTGCAGCATCCACCATCTTTGTAGTGCTCCGGGTGCAGCTGGAAGTCAAAGAAACTCCGTCCTCTTCCAAACCTACCTGATGATGTTGTGAGGTACCGATAGGTCTGGAGTTCTCTGGAGGCAAAAGGGGCTCTTCTTGTTTGTCAAGTCCAAATGTGAATTCAAGGGAAGTACAGGGAGCCAGGTCTTCTTGAGGCTTCTGTGCTACCCCAATGTCTTGTATGTACTTGAAATTTGGGGGAAGAATCTCAAGCAGCTGTGACACAGCACTGGCATGGTACACTGTTGAACTACTGTTAGCGTAGCCCCGCTGTTCAATCGTCGAATTGAGATGTTTCAATGACTGTTGAAGCTTTCCTACAAGGACCTTGACAAAACAAAGTCGGGATATAAAGTCATCCTGGTCTTCATTATCAGCCTCGTCTTCACTTGAGCTGGTAGTAGAGCTACCACTGGAGCTAGTAGTACCGGCATGACCTACCAAGTCTTCACTGGAGCTGGTATGAGCGCTACCACTGAAGCTGGTAGCACAGTCCACAAACTGTGGAGGTGAACTACACCTCAACACCTCTCCATGATCTTCAGAAACCATGTCAACTTCATTTGACCACACCTTACCGTGATCCTTACCATAGTCTGGATGTCCCTCCAACATTGGGGATCCGTCTTCTGGAAGCGCCATGGTATGGGCTGTGAAGGAAAATAAAAGCAAAAAAAAAAGGTATAATTCAATATATAGACCTTCACAAAAGTCCAAAGCAATGTTTAGAGGGGACACTGAAATACCAACAATACAATGACCCAGGTTTGTGAATGTGTTTGTTTTTCTTGAAAAAATAATGAAACTAAATTAAAATATAAGCTATTATAATGGCAAATGCTATTTTTAATGTTTTTTTTAAATAATATTAAATATTTAACTATTCCATTTACCGTGTCCATGGAAACTGAGTGTTTGTCATGGCATTTAAAAAAAATAACGGTCAAAAAACAAGCTAATTTTCCAGGAATTCCACGTTAATTGAACTAATTTGACTATAATTAAGTAAAATACATATATTTATTACATCACTGCACCACAGTTTAATATTCCTGACATTTCAAGCGAAATTCAGTGAAGAAGAAAGGTCATTAAGTTAAGAAAGGTCTATGCTAGCAAAGAATGCTACTTGACGCTTTTTCTTCTCTACGGCAGTCAGAATTTCTTTAAAACACAGAAAAACACAAAACAGAATGAACAAGTTACTAATATCTTAGTAATAACTCCCTTTCGTCTATTAGAAATAACAGAAGAACAATTTTAACCTTCCAGCCGGTCACCCTGTTGGTGCTTCTCCTGGCCGGGAACCGTCTTTCGCAGTTTGTTAACCAACGGCCTCTTCAGCAAGTGCTTCTTCAGCAAGTTTTGCTAAGCAGACTTCTTGACAAGCGCAAACCTTCAGGCGTCTCTCAAAAGTCCCGTCGCAAAGGGGAAAGAATTCAGAAGGTCAGTGTCATTTATAGGGTTGAGAACGCTAACGTCGTTTCCATGGCACTTGGTGCGTGAGAAAAATTGGACGAGACTAAGTATCACGTTGTCTTGTTTATCACTCCGTATGCTGCCACCTACTGGCCAACGAGTCTAAGTTCACTATTACATGTTTAAAACACTGCTGGTGCGACATCATATTTCTCCTACCTTAACTGTCAGTTTCGGTCCTCCAAATGGGAAAACTTCTCTCTGACGTAAAGCCTGGATTGGAAGAAAATTTCAAATTCAAAATTCAATTCAAAAATACTTTTTTGATCGAAAAGTAAAAATGAATGTTGTAGCTCATCAATTCAGATTCTTCAAAGAGTTATTGCAGATGGCTGATTGCTGTTGGCAGGAAAGATCTTTTGTAGCGGTCTGTGTTGCAGCAAATTTGAAGAAGCCTCTGACTGATCATGCTGTGCTTTGTGAAGGTGGTCTCATGAAGAGGATGGTCAGAGATGCCTATAATTTTCTTAATTTCATGAAGAATCCCAGGCTGTTTGCTAGCTGTGGGCTGCATTGTTAATGGTGTTCGGGTGGTAGGGTTACAGTGGGTGCCGCAGGATTGCACCAGATCTGCTACACCAAGTTTGATCTCAGAGTGTTGGTTTCAGGGGTCTCAAACTCCAGTCCTGGAGGGCCGGTGTTTTGCAACTTTTAGATGTGCCTCTGCTGCACCACAGCTGAATAGAATAATTAGGTCTTTAGCAAGGCTCTGGATAAGTGGTCTACACAAGGAAGAGGCAATTCATCCATTTCATTCCAGTGTTTTGTTCCTGGGGCACATCCAAAACCTGCAGGACAGCGGCCCTCCTGGAGTTTGAGACCCCTGGTTTATGTGATGCAGTTTTTGCACTGCATCCTGCTGTCCTCGAATCACATCATATCATATTATTATTTCAATTAATTTGTAAAAATGTGTTTTTGTCTTACTTCATAGTTTTTGGGTTATTTACAAGGCTTATTTGTTGGTTTAAATTTTGTTTCGCTTTTAATTGCCTTGGTAATTCGGCCACTTGGCCAAATTATGTCACATTACATCATATATTATATTACGATGGATTTTTTTTATTTATTATTGATTTCATTCGGCAATTGCGCTTTTATTTGAAATCCTGCTCATCCCTGCTTCGCGTCCTTTTGTTGGTCCTCCACTCCAGTATCCCATCATGCACCGCTTCAGACCTCCGTGTCCACGTCAAATCTGTCAGCAGAGCAGAGCTGATAATGGCTGCAGTTGAGGTGGCACTTTTAGGTCTTCAGACTGCTAGAAAACTCTGACACTTATGACTGAAACTTTCCGCAGACAGCAGCGACTCCAGCAGAAACCGAAATATAAAATCAGTCGTTGTGTTGTTCTACTATAATGCCTCGTCGCTCGCTTGTCCTCCCAGGTGCCTCCAGGCGACCGAGCAGCTGTTGTTAGCCGGGTTTGGTGCTTGCTAGGCGAGCGTCTGTCGGGACCGAAGCCGCCGCGTTTTTCACACCCAAACAAGTGGATTTTTAACGCCGGCGTAAATGTCAAGCAGAGCTCCCAGCTCAGCTTACATGTCCGAACCGTCCTCGGCGTATTTCAGCTCAAACCGTGGCTAGCTGTCCGGCGTCCCTCGGACTGGTTCTGCTTTTGTTTGGTTCTCTCCGAGGATGTCTTCCTGGCTGGGCGGACTGGGATCCGGCCTCGGCCAGTCCCTGGGACAGGTCGGGGGCAGCCTGTCATCGTTCACCGGGCAGATATCAAACTTCACCAAAGACATGCTGCTGGAAGGAGTGGAAGAAGTCGGAGGTAAGCTCCAGTCCACGCTGTAGCTTTACCTCGGTGTTGTCCACATTACCATTTAGCACACTTGTAGCATGTAACACACTGGTTCTGTTCAGCTTAGATGTGTTCAAATATTTACATTCATGTGTCTTTATGTTTGAGCACTGGATTTGTACCTAAATATACATAATTCTTCAACTAATTTTGCTGCATTTAGAATACTATGAGTAGTCCAGGTAACAGAATCTGTTCCACAATAAACATAAATATGTCCAGGCTGTATAAAGTAGTAGATTATCTGCATAATGCTTCCTGTTGATTGATCAATGAGTGTCAGAAAAGGGGCTCCCATTTTTAACGTAATCAAATTCCAAAAACTTACAACACTATTGAAAATAATTGTTTGGATTAAGTCTACACAGACTGACGCTTTAAGCCTCTACTTGTGTTAATTATGAGGATTTTCTGCTCATTGCTAATGAAAGCATGCTGATTAAGATTAGAATACTACGTCAAATCTAATCAATGGGAAAAACTTTTATTTAATACAGAAATTTGGGTTTAATGAAATAAATCAATTTAATCCAACTGAAAAGGAAGGAATTGTAAGATTATCCTCATTCATGCATCAAAGCACTCAAACATAACATTTATTTGACTTTTAGGAAACTTGGAATAAAATATTTGAAGGAATTTTCAGAATGTGACACTTAAAAAGTAGAGAAAAAGATTTTTTATGAAGAAAATTAAAGAAAAAAAAAGATCCAAAATCAATCCTTGATGTATTGATTAGTGCATCTCTACTGAGAAATGAGATGCAATCAGAATTTTTGGGTCCTTCATTTTGTGAAATCTGTCTTTTTTTTTTTCGTACTCTGACATCTTCTCATTTAAAGTAATAATCCTTGAGTAGCTTACTGAAATGGAATGTGGTTTTGTGGCTCCGATAAATATGCCGGTCAGTTGTTTCTGTCAGATCAACGATCTGTTTTTAATCCATTGCATGTAAGATTCATCCGTCTCCAGCTGGAAGTCAGAGGAACGTTAAGGGAAACATTTTCAAATGTTATGTCTCGAGGCTGAAGAAGTAGGAATTGACAAAAAACAACTCATTATATGAATTGGTGAACTGACCTGAGGCCAGTAAAACAAGACAAACCAAGTGTTTGGGATTCCAGCAAAAGATAAAGTTTCTTTCCTCGTTTCTCATGCGCCGTCAACCCAGATGACGATTTTAACAGGAAATGATTAAAATTACACAGGAAACATCTACTTAGTTTAGATGATATTTTCTTTTTAAGTCTTGCAAGGTTCATGTTAATTAGATTTTGGTCATTTTATGTTGGACATATAATTAATAAAACATGCAATTATATTTGATATTTGACAGATTCTTGTAGACTGAGAACTTTTTACAATCTCTTTACTTTTGGGGGCTTTTATATTTATATTCTCTAAGTGAAGACCTCAGATCTTATTATTATTATTTTTTTTGCTTGTTTGTTTGTTTGTTGACATCAAAAGGAGGCATTTCTTTGTCAATTTTATAACCAAAAGTAGGCTAAGCTGAAACATGTTTCAGCAGAAATTAGTTTCTAATCTGACTATAGTTGAAACTTCACAGATTTCTCCTAACTTCTAATTGAGGTCCGGTTATGTTTGATTAAGTTTATCTGCTAAATTGGGAGCTAACCAGTTAAAAGGTGATGCCATTAGTCTGTTAAAGAACAAAATATATGGGAGAATTTCAATTTTACTTTCTACTTGTGCACTTGAGCACGTTTTTACACGTACATGTAGAAACATGTAAGTAAGCCTATTTGACTAATTCAAACTGGACGTGATGTCGGTCGTCAGTGAACTGATAAAACATCGACTGAGGAAGAACTTTGGCCGCAGATCTCCAACTCACCGCCGCAGGCAAAAACCTAAAGTGTCTGTTCTTATCACTGTCGGGCAGCGACGTATACTCACCTAAACACGTTTACTATTTGTAACCTTGCGGTGCACAAAACCGTGAACCGTAAGCACTGTGCATTGCTGTAAGGTGGAAGAGTTGCTGTCTCGAAATCCGAAAGTTGTGGTTCCAGTGATTCCAGCTTTCCCCTGCCAGGTGTCGGCATGCGACCAGGCGAATGTAAAACACCTCTACTGATCAGTATAGCTATTTAGGCGCTATATAAATTCAGTAAAAAAAAAAACAAGGCATCCTTCTTTCAGATTTTTAAAAATAAATTTGAGCACCTTTCAACGTGCACAAATATGACACTTGCGCATAAAATCTGAACTATATCAATTAACAACGTTATTGTCAGTCAGGTTCAACATACTTTAATATTACGATCGTTTTTCACACGATTGAACTGAAAATACATGAAACATAATGTTCGTTGGGTATCTTTGTTTCACTTCACCTCTCCCTCTTCGTCAGGCGTTGTTTTTAGGTTAGTTTTTCCAAATAAAGCAAATTTGATAATTTTATTATATTTTGAATTTTTTCAAACTCTGATTATGGTCAGTTTGCAAAAATATAGACTTTGTGTATGTGTCATGTTGTTTTAACATATTGAAGAAAAACTTACTTCCGAAGGTGTTTTTATTTTGCCTTTTGTGTGGAATAAAAACAGAGTTTTTATAAAAAAAAGAGTTTTTATAAATCTACCTTTACTTAATATGTCCTGCGCTGACATAATGTGCTGAGGAGATGCAAATTGACTGGTTATGTCTGTTCTAAAGCTTTTCTTAATGCTGTTTTTTTTTTTCGTATAATAACAGATGCTGCCACAGAATTACACGTGTCCAATTCCAAGTTGGCTGAGGTGGAGGCTGCGTTTTCCACTCAAAAATCAGAGGTTAGATTTGTCTTTTTTTTTAAAAATCTTTGCAACATAAGAATAGTTTGACTTGTTACAGTAGATGATTTTTACAGGGTTTTCTTCCAGCAAGAAATGCTGATAAATGCTTTAGTTCAGATCAAATGGTTCCTGTGTAAATCAAAGTGAGTCCCACCAAACCAACAACGCTGTGGCTGCTGTTGCTCATGTGAAAGGCTACAAGCTCATTATTGGACCGAATGTGCCAGTACTGAAGCTTTTAGCAGGTGATTGTATTTCAAAGACAGCAGATAAAATGACTGGCATTTTCTATCAACTTTAGCTGTTTTCCATCAGCTCCACATTCACTGGCCGGCTGTTGAAAACACTTAGGTGAGCGACCAGGGCAGTAATCCGTCCCTAAAAATAGCCGCCAACATGTGTAGCTCAGAAAAGCTGCTTTCTTTTTTTTAAAGGCAGCCGCTGGAATACAAAGGGGATAATTGTTTTGTGACATTTTATTAGTAGATGAAACGGCATCTTACTGATTGCACAAGAAAACCCTGATAAACTACTGAAAGCATGTTTTCAGTTGTTGTAGGGATACAAAGAAAAAATGTACTGCACACAAATCCGGTGGCGTGAATGCATCGCTGATTTCCGGGTTTTCATTTGAACTAGGGATGTAGAATATTATCGCCATGGCATCGGCCGATATTAGCTGTAAAATTTAATGCCAGTTTTTTCGTCAAAATAACTTCCAGACATGAAACCAGTGACAATAATGCCTGCAGCACAGCGCAATAACAAATTTGAACTGTTTGGGTGTTGTTGTCTTAGAGAGAGCAGAGGTCATAAACAAATTTGACATTAGACATAATGAAGGTTGAAAGTGTTGCATCATTTTCAGCCTGGTTGCACATATGGTTATCGGAAAAATAGTTTTTGTATTACGGCATATCCAGACCGAATCTGAACAGTACTATACTGTTCAGATTCGGCCAAGTACTATTCTGTTCTGCCTTGTGTTCTCCCGTCTCCTGGTCTTCCTGTGGACGTTCATTTCTTGCATATCTTCACACATGTAAGAGTCAATATGTGTCCTCTCTCTGTGTTCCAGTATGAAAGGCTGAAAAAACTTCACGCAGAGCTGGAGGAGAAGCTGGAGGCCTCAGAGATCCAGATTAAACAACAGTCTGCAGAATACAGAACCCTCCTGCAGCAGAAAGATGTGGGTGCAAACATTTTCAAATCGTGAATGTTTTGGGACAACTCTCCACCGACGGGGAAAGTCTAAATTCCTGTCTTTCTCCCAGGTGGAGATCAGCCACCTAAAAGCTCGACAAAGCGGCCTTCAGGAAGAAGTCCAGAAGCTGCAGCGGTCGGCGCAGTCGGCCGCCTCCTCTCCAGCGGTGCTGCCGGTGACCACCGCCTCCCTGACCGCCACCTCTTCCTCTCCTTCCACCTTCCTGACGCGCCCCGGAGGGCCTCATCACGCCTTCCATAGCGACGAAATGGACATCAGCGACGTCCTTTGGTCGCAGCAGGAAATCAACAGGCTGTCCACAGAAGTGATGCGTCTAGAGGCAGACGTGGCGCATTGGAGGAGAATGTCGCAGGTAAAACAAAGCGTGCACGGCAAAACTTGTAGTATCCAAGAGCCAGATTATTTTTAAATCCTTGTCAGTTAAAGATGAGCCACTTAAATGACAGTTTAGAATAATTGTTGCAGGTACTGTGATCCAGGAGAGACTTTTGGATTTTCTCAATGAGCCTTATAATTAAAATAAGTGTGAAATTTATTCATCTAAAATGTATCTGAGCTTAAATACAGAGACTCTTTGATTTTTATTATGTTTATAACAAACTCTGTTTCAGGCATCAACAACCTCAGGAACTGGTAATGGTGACCAGGGGGAGATTCTGAAACTCCAAAGAACTATTAAGGTACCTGCGCTAGTTCTGATTATGTCTTTATAAAATAAACCTACGTTTTAAACACTCTGAATCTGCAGTGCTGTTTTCTGTAGTTTTACTACAGGGTCGTCCAAAGTGTGACTTGCAGCCATTTTCAGCTCCTGGACTTTTTTTGTTTGTCTTTTTTTTTGTAGCCCATGACTGCAATTCAAAACTGATAACCTGTACCCCTTTACTACTACTGCTACTATTTATGATGATTATCAGGAGACACAGTAATGAGACTGTAGATTTTTAACTTTGTTGGAACAGGAGTTACGGGATGAAATGAGTCGAGAGGTGGATGAACATCAGCATGAGCTGGCGGCTCTGCAGGACGCCCAGCGGCAAAAGCTGGCGGAGGTTACGCGCCGCCACCGAGAGGAGCTCGCAGAGTACGAGGAGAGGATAGAGGAACTGGAGGAGCAGATTCGCAGCGGTGAGACTATATTTTATTTCAGCCAAAAGCACCTGCATGGGAGTTATTATGACAGAGGAAACTAATAAGATGCTGACTCTCTCCAGGGGACGGTCAGGTCAGCTCTCCTTCAGATTCCTCCAAACTGCCCGAGCTCCAGAGAAACGTCCAGACTCTGCAGGAAGCAGCGGAGCGGCGCGAGAAGCAGCTGGCCGAGCTGTCTGCCAGTCTGGAGGACGCGCAGAGGAACCAGGCCTCCCTGCAGCTGGAGAGGGACGACGCTCTGGAGGAGAACGCAGGACTGCTGCAGAACTACTCGCGCCTGCAGGCCTCTGTGGCTGAACTCCAGACACGAGTCCAGGAGCAGGAGGGGAAGGCTCTGCAAAAAACTCAGTTTGAGCAGGAGATTCAGACGCTCAGAAATAACTTAGCAGGTGGGGTTTATATATGCTGAATAATGTAGCATGAAATGATCTGTTACACTAACCTTTCTCTAAGTATTTCTTGTAATGTGTTTTGGTGGATGTATTGTAATAACAGGCTGCACCGATTGCAGTTTTTTGGCTGATCACCGATTACCGATCTTTTAAAAAGCCTTACCTGTCTATTCTGATTTTGGCCGAAACTATTTATTTTTTCTGAAATGTCGCTAAATATAGTAAGAGTCACTGAATTGGCAACAGTGGGATGACTGTTAACTGCAAATGTGCATCTAACAGTCTGCACATTTGCCGACTGGTGATAGACAAACTTCTCTCACAGCAGAGCAGAAAAGGTCAAAGGTTGACCAAAATTAAGGAAATTGGCACCGATAAATCAGCTAGCTAATGGATTGGTGCACAAAGTAGCAACTTCAAAAATAGTACCGTTACACTTCTTTTTTTTAATTTGTTGAAATGTTATTATTTTTATAGCTGCAGAAAAAGAAATAGAGCGACTCCAGCACCTTTCAGAGGCAAGTATAAACACAAGCTATAAGTTCTAAACATAATTGAACGCGTTACATTTTTGTGTATTTACTGCTTTTAAACAATCTCACATTTGAACTTTCAGGCAGAGCCGAGAGAAGAGGTTGAGCATGCAGACATCTTAGAACTGAACACCATTATAGGAATGTTGAGGCAAGAAAAGGAAGTCCTAGAACAAGAAAAGGTTGGTTTATTTTATTCAAATGTAAAGTTCTCTTTTTAACGTTATTATCCACTGGCACTTTTTTTTTAGAAAACATGAAGGTTAAAAACTGTTTTATTGTTTTTTTTTCTAATGTTCTAGTTTGACAAAAGTTAAATACTGTTATCAGTGAATTTTTTTTTTTTGTATTTACAGTTGAAGCCAGATGTTTACATGCACTCCATAAGAACATAAATGTGCACAGATACTTTACACCTGGCCTAAAATTCAAGTGTTTGCTTTTATAACGATCATCATGGTTGGAGAAAAAAGGAGAAAACTTGCATAACTGAGAACAGCGACATTCCAACTTCTAAAATGGATAATAGTCGTACCACCAAATTAGTTGTAAAATTGCTTAAAGATTACAAAGTCAATGTATTGGAGTCAAAGAGATAAAGCATTGATCACAGAGATCAGTTTTTTTTTTCTTTTTTTTTTTATTAAAGGAACCAAATTTCCATCTATTTTGCAGAATACCTAGAACATTCATACAGTTTCAAATGTAAATATTAAGAAAATGTATGTTGACCTCCATGGAAGATGTTTGACTTATTATTCTGACATTTGTCAAATAAAAATTAGGTTTTGAACTTCAACAGACCTGAAATGACGGCAAAAAAAAATATCTCATCTGACTTCATGTCAGAATGTGAGGGGGGGAAAAATGTTTTTGCTGAGCTTAGCTGTTTCAAACGTGCACACTCCAAATGTATCAAATGTTAGTTACTGGCTGTGGTGAAAGTCAGTCTACATGTCTGTGAACCTCTGGAGCGTCGAAGCTAACGATATTTCCTGATCGTTTTCTCTCTTCGCAGCTTGAGCTGCAACACAGACTGACGGTAGCAGAGGAGCAAGTGGTTTACAAAAATGAATCCCCGATGGAGTCTGGTGAGGTGGAGTCCCTGGAGGATCTGAAGGCGGAGCTCGAGAGGAGAGAGAAAGTCCTGAGAGCCACCGAGGAGGAGCGGGACACCCTCATGTCAGAGCTGGAGGAGTTGGACCGACAGAACCAAGAAGCAACACAGGTCTGGTTTGCCTCAGCTCGATCCCCACGATCCAGCTATTTCACTTTATTTTTTGATTGAATTCATGAAAAAATGCGAGTTGGCACGAGAAAGCTGAGGCTGAGCCATATGCAGTGTGAGAAGCACAAATTTCTTATCACAAGCCACAAGTTTTTTTTTTAATTAAACTTCTTTAGTAAAGTAATAAGAAATAATCAAGTTTTTTCTTTTAAATCATTTTAGCATTTGATCGCTGCAAAGGAGCAGCTCTCTGGCCAGTTGAAGGAAGCTGAGGCAGAGCTGATCAGAACGACCGCAGAGCTCAACGCCTCCAAGGACCAGAAAGGAGCGCTGGAACGAGAGCTGGAGACCCAAAAAGAGAAAACCAGCCAAAGCGCGTTCACCCTCAACGACCTCCACATGGCCAAACAGCAGCTGGAACAGAGGGTGAAGGAACTGAAAGACGCTTTGGGACGCGCGAACGAGCAGAGTCGGGAAGCGAGGCGAGAAGCGGCTGAGCTGAAGAAGACCCTGCAGGAGCGAGAGGAGCAGCTAGCCGCTGCTAAAGCGGAGGCGGCTCATGGAGGACAGAGACGGACGGAGGAGGAGCTGGCGGGGAAGGAGAGGGCGCTGTCGGACCTCAGGAGAGAAATGGATGAAATGAGGAGCTCCTACGAAAAGGGGATGTCTGAAGAGTATGAGATGAAGATGGCGAACCGGAGGTTGAAGGACGAGCATGAGAACGCTTTGCAGAAGTTAGAGGAGATAAGCAAGCAGCTGAAAGAAAACCAGGCCGCTCTAAACAGGACAACGAGGGAGAAGGACACTCGTATTGAAGCACTCAAGCTGGAGAAGAACCAACTCGAACTGGAGCTGTCGCAGGCTGAGAGAGCGCTGTCGGGGCAGGTGAAACAGTACCAGCAGACCATCGAGGAGCTGACCCGAGCCAGATCCATGGACGCCTCGGCTTTGCAAACCGAGCACGAGTCAGCCATCAAGTTAAACCAGGAGAAAGACCTGGAGATCGCCAAGCTGAGGCGAGACCTGGAGCAGCTGGCGTCGGACCACAGAGACACCAACGAGATGCTCTCGATCACCGTCGCGGGGCAGAAGCAGCTGACGGACTTGTTGCAAGAGAAGGACGTCTTTGTGGAAACCTTGAAACAGAACGCGGCGGATCTACAGGGAGAGATGGAGAACAGGGTGGCAGCCATGACCAAAGAGGTTGACGTCCTCAAACAAGCGGTGGACGAAAAGGATAAGCAGCTGGGAGGGATGAAGGAGGAGAACAGCCATCTGAAAGAGGAGATCGATCGGCTGAGGGATCAGCAGAGCAGACCGCAACCACTGGCCGAACCCAAGACTCTGGACATCATCACCGAGCTGGAGACAGAGATCGCCCAGCTGAAGTCGTCCAGGAACGCACTGGAAGACGAAGTCCGGTCGCTGAAGAGAACCTCGGAGGAGCAGCAGGCGTCTCTGCAGGCTCAGCAGAGCGAGCTGGAACAGACCGCCGTTCGCCACCAGCAGACGGCGCTCGACTATGACAGACTCATACAAGCCAAAGACGAAGAGATAACCCGCCTCCAGCAGAGCGTGGAGCAGGGCCGCCTCCCGGCGTTCCAGGGAGACGTCATCCTCCACGAGGACAAGACACGGTCTCTCAATCAGGACAACGGCAACGAGAAGCACGACCTGTCCAAGGCCGAGATAGAGAAACTGGTCCGCGGCATCGAGGAGAAAGAGACAGAGATCGTCCAGCTGAACGAGAAAAACCTCTCGCTCACCAGGCAGCTGGAACAGCTGGCGTTTTCTCGCGACGAAGTGGGCAAACTCTCCCAAATGATCCGGCAGAAAGATCTGGAGATCCAAGCGCTCCACGCCCGGCTCTCGTCGGGTCAGGACGTCCTCTATCTCCAGCAGCAGCTGCAGGCGTTTGCCGTGGAGCGCGAGCAGATGCTGGCCGTGCTCAACGAGAAGACGAGGGAGAACGGGCAGCTGCGGTCCGACTACCACCGCCTGGTGGACGTTGTGGCCGCGAAGGAAGCCGCCCTGGTGAGGCTGCAGCAGGAGAACCAGCGGCTCTCCAACACGAGCGACCCCTCGGGGAGCCAGGAGATGTTCAAGGAGACCATCCAGAACCTTTCCCGCATCATCAGGGAGAAGGACATCGAGATTGACGCTTTGACTCAGAAGTGCCAAACCTTGGTGACCGTCTTGCAGTCGACGGGAAGCGAGGCCGGCGCTGCGTCCGGCGGCGTCAGCAGCAACCAGTTCGAGGAGCTTCTGCAGGAGAGGGACACACTGAAGCAGCAGGTGAAGAAGATGGAGGAGTGGAAGCAGCAGGTGATCACCACGGTCAAGAACATGCAGCACGAGTCGGCGCAGCTGCACGAAGAGCTGATCGAGCTGCAGGGCCAGGTGTCCGCCGACAGCGACTGCAGCTCCAAGCTGTCGGTTGACTACGCCCGGTTGATCCAAAGCTACGAGCAGAAGGAGAAAAGGCTGGGAGGTTTGAGTCTGGAGCTGGCGCAGGTCCAGCAGACCATCAGTCAGCTCAGCAACACCAAGGATGTGCTGCTGGGGAAACTGGATAGCGTCGCGCAGACTCCCGAGGTCGCAGCGACCGCGCAATCGAGAGGTCTCAGTCTAACAGCCGAGCCCCAAACCCAACAGACCACCGAAGTTCTGCAAGCGCAGCTGGCTGAGAAAGAAAACCTGATCAGGACCCTTCAGGAGAACAACCACCGGCTGTCCGACGCGGCGTCCGCCTCGGAGAGCGAGCAGAGGAGTCAGGCTGAGGAGGCCCGCCAGGTCCGGGACCGACTGGAGTCCCTGCAGAGGTCAGTGAGGGAGAAAGACCTGCTCATAAAAACCAAAGGAGACCAGCTGAGCCAAGTGAGCGAGTCGCTGCGCAACCGCGAGAACGACAACGAGGTATTGAAGCAGGCTGTGACCAACCTGAAGGAGCGGGCGCTCATCTTGGAATTGGACGCTCGGAAGCTGAAGGAGGAGAACGAGCAGGTGGCGGCGCGCTCTCGGGAGAAGGAGTCGGAGTTCAGGGCTCTGCAGGAAACAAACATGCAGGTTTCGCTTCTGCTCAGAGAGAAGGAGTTTGAGCTGAGCGCAATAAGCGAGAAGGCCGCCACTGTGGAGCGGATGCTCAAAGACAAAGAGCTGGTCAGTTTGATTCGTGGTCTGCAGCCTTTTTGAACAAATAATAAAGTAAATATTCCCATGAGCGTTGTAACTTTCTTTTTGCTCCTGTTGATTTGTGCCGCAGGGTAAATCCGGTGAACTGAATCAGCTTCTGAACGAACTGAAGTCCATGCAGGAGAAAGCGGTGATGTTCCAGCAGGAGAGGGATCAGATGATGATGGCGCTGAAGCAGAAGCAAATGGAGACCACGGCTCTGCAGTCTGAGGTGGGACCATCATTAGCTGCGTTTCCAATAAAACGTGCTCATAACTTTCTTTGATATTCAGCTAATCTTGGAAAAACAGTTTTGCTATTGCTGTGTTTCCTATGACAGTATAGAAAAATAAAATAATTAATTTCAGTTGAATTTAAATGAATTAAGACCATTTTTTTAGTTTTAAAATTTAAATTATGAGAATAAAGTCATAATATTGCAACTTTATTCTCATAACTTTATTCTGGTGCGACTTAAGGCGACTTCACACTGTTCCAAGTGAGAGAGAGACACAGAGCAGTCATGGACAGCAGATTGTTACAAAATACGTTCAAAGATATTTTACGAAGAAACAAATGAGGCAAACAGTTCAGCTAAGACGCCGTTTAACTTGAGAGTGTTTGTGTTTGCAGCTGCAGCACACGAGGGATAAAGAGCAGCGGCTCAACCTGGAGCTGGAGAGGCTGCGCAACCACCTGCTGGAGATCGAGGACTCCTACACCCGGGAAGCCCTCGCTGCGGAGGACCGGGAGACGGAGCTGCGCAGGCGGGTGGCGCTGCTGGACGACAAACTGGCCACGTCGTCAAATGCCGTGGAAAACGCCAGGTTTGCATAAACTCAAAAACTGCCTTCACCACACACATACACACACATACATCATGCGTTTAAGTATTTTATCGCGATGCTTAAATATGAGAAAGCGTATTTCTGCATGCGGTTCAGTGCTAGCTCCTTTTTCCGTCTTTTTCTTGAAACGTTTTTTGCCGTAATGATTTATTCCCTCCAAGCTCGCGCTGAGCCACAGTATTTATCTATTTATTTTCATTCGGAGAGTTTTCTGCTCTTCTTTCCAGCCAGCAGGCCAGCATGCAGGTGGAGTCTCTCCAGGAACAGCTGAGCAATGTGGTGAAGCAGCGGGACGAAGCACTTTTACAACTCAGAACCTCTCAGGAACAAGTCAGGCAGTATGCAGTGTCGCTCTCAAACCTGCAGATGGTGCTAGAGCAATTCCAGCAAGGCAAGTTGGCAGAGAGGGAAATCATTTCGCCATCAGCTTCTTAGCAGCTCTTCTTTGCAATAAATCTATAATTTACCATTCCCATTTATTGTTTCAGTTATTTGTGTCTTTCCATTTTAGAGGAGAAAGCCATGTACTCGGCAGAGCTGGAGAAGCACAAAAAAGAGAAAGACGAGTGGAAGAGAAAAGCTCTCCTGCTTGAAGACCAAGCATCTGCTCTGCAGGTAAGTCGGCGAACAGAGAAAGCGTGTGTCCTCGTAATGTCTTGATCCGATTACTGATTTTCATTTCTCTCAGCTGAACTTGGACGAAGCCAACGCTGCTCTAGATTCGGCGTCTCGCCTCACAGATCAGATCGATCAGAAAGAGGAGCAAATCGAAGAGCTAAAGAAGCAAGGTGAGATGAGTTTGAGCTTCTTCACTACATTTAATGTTTTCTTTTCCCAGCAGATTGTAAAATGGCAATTAAAATGGCTGCAGATCATTTTTTCCTGCACCAGTTTTGTACCCTTGCTTGATCTTTTTTGAAATCTTTTTTGCATTTATAGTTTTTTTAAGAATGTAAGCAGATCTGGCTGCTGTAGTGTTGCAGGGGCAAAGCACAACCCACATATTGAGGCCTTTGACCTCATGCTGGCGGTCGCAGGTTCAACTCCCGGCCTGGTGACACTTGCCGCATGTCTTCCCCCTCTCTCTCTCTCATTATCCTCTTTCCTGTTGAACTACATTCAAATAAAAGCCAGTAGCGCCAATAAAACCTTTTTTAAAAGAAAAATGTGTGCAGATAAATCACACCTATTATTGAGTCTCACATTTTATTTATTTGAATATTATTCTTTGAATTTAACCATTTACCAGTTAATTGTAGCTGTGAATCCAAAGGTAACCAAAATAACTGAGCAACTTCCTGATTATTTAATGACTGAAATGATTGGCTTTCAAAGAGGCCTCAAATCGTCTCCAGGATATGGATTCCTGTGAAAATATCAGGGACAAGCCTCCAAATCCGAAAGTATGAATTGGCAAATAAACTAAGTGAAACTTTTAGCCAAAACCTGAGCTCAGATTATGAAACAAAATATAAAATTAACACTTTTAGCCAAATACTGGGCTCAGATTATGAAACAAAATATAAAATTAACACTTTTAGCCAAATACTGGGCTCAGATTATGAAACAAAATATAAAATTAACACTTTTAGCCAAATACTGGGCTCAGATTATGAAACAAAATATAAAATTAACACTTTTAGCCAAATACTGGGCTCAGCTTATGAAACAGAAAATAAAACTGTATGTAGCTGGATACCCTTATCAGAGCCTGACTTGCAGACTAATGTATCTTTCTGTCACTTTTATCAAGTAAATCATTACGTCACAGCAAATTCTCAGACTGTTTTTGTTGCCTGGTCTCAGACCTCACAGTCTGTATTTGTTCTGTCTGGGAGCAAGCCTTTTATCTTTATTTTCTAATTCTATTTATATATGTATAATCTAAATGTGGCTTATCTAGAAAACATAACTCTAGATCTAGGATTGTGCTAGAATTTTGGTTATTCGTCATTTTGACTGAATAACCATCTAATTCCATCTAACTTTCTTTTTACCTGTCATTTTCTAAAACAGTAATGATGCCAAATTGAACCACATTTCATTTTAATTTGGTTTAATTAATATTCCACAAGCTGAACAGAGAATCCACATTATCACACAACAACCAGGTGAATATATATAACTTTTATATAGACAGACTCACTTTGTGGATATTGACAGAAACCACTGATTCCACTCCCAGGAACTATATATAGACAATTAAATTAAACGATTGCACTTAAATTGTGAATGATTCACCCAGGGCTTTACACCTCCAGCTAGTCTCCATGGATGTCTCAAATGTCCCCAATGTTTTGATGTTCATCTGGAGGTTGAGTCATCGCTCTGCGGCCGCACTGGACACTGGCTTGCAAACATCACCTCGGCCAAAATGTTTAAACCGGTGAACATTTCTCTATTTAAAGTGATCAGAAGTCGGCCAAACTCTGAGAACAAAGTTTCACTATAGCAAATTACATAAAAAATCTGACTTCCCATCAGTTAACCTAGATGAAAAAGTCATGCATGCTCTACTTGGCATTCATGTGCCAAGTAGAGAAACAAAGCAACATTAATATGTTTTTTGTTTGTTTTTATTACTATTTTATTTTAAAGTATTTTTGTTGCTGGTGAAATGACGACTCTCTGGTTTTGTGTTTCAGTGGATGTGAGGCAAGAGATGCTGGAGGAGGCACAAAAGAAACTCATGAACCTTCTCAACAGCACAGAGGGGAAGATAGACAAGTAAGTTGGGTTTTTGTCCTGCGTCTGCTATTGATACAGCCAGTTCAATGAAAACAATGTCGACATACTTTTGCTCAAAAGTATCCAACAAAATCATTGTTTTTCATTTATTTGTTCGTTTAAAAAACAAAAACAAGCTAACTTCCAGACCCAGTGGGGCCTTTTGTACATTTTTGTCTTCAGGAACGCGTCACATAATTGTACAAACGTGAATATAAATTAAAATAATTAATAGAATACATTTTTAGAAAAAAAGTTGTAAAGTTGAGGGCAATGTGTTTTATGATGTAGTGGTAAACTATTTTAAAAACATGACATCCAATCAGACATTTGTCCCAGTTTTGATGATAGTATTAGCAATTAAAGCAGTTAGCATTGCAAAACTTTTTTTAAATGCTGCCAGCCTTCCTAATCTATCACACTCCATGACTGACGGAAGTTGAAAACTCTCAAGGATGAAACGGAGTAATTTTCCCGTAATCGCATGAGCCTTTGTCGCCCTGAGTGAACTGTCGACATGTTTTGACAAGCCCTAGAAAGTACATCTTGTTTTTGGATGTCTTTTTTTTATTCTCTCTGCTTCCTCTGACTTCATTGTTGAACACTTTGATGATACTGAAAATAGGTCATGTTGGCCAGTAATCGCGTCCGTACTGAAGAGTGTTGCCAACTCTACTTGGTAACTCTTTGTTGCGTGTGTTGCTGTGTCTGCAGGGTTCTGATGCGCAACCTGTTTTTGGGCTACTTCCACACGCCTAAAACGAAGCGGGCCGATGTGCTGAGGCTCATGGGAAGTGTGTTGGGACTGAGCAGAGAACAAGTTGATCAGGTCAGGCGGTGACCTTCACTCATTTCGACCCGGTGGACAGCTGGGCTTTTACATTTCAACTGTGAAGCAACAGTTAGAAAATCTTAAAAATAACTATATAAAGTTATTACACCTTCCTAAAATAATGATCTAAGCTTACAATAAATATATGATCAAATCTTGGATTGATTTGAAGCCAGATCAATTGTTTTAAGCGATTTGGAGTTGCATTCATCTCTCCGACATCATCATTATAAAATACACAATAATTGTAACATCTAGTTTAAAATAGTCTATTTTAAAACATCGTATTATAGAAAATGCAGAAATAACTGCATAACTTGCATCCATATATGTCATAAAATATATTATTTTGCTTTACTGTAGATCAAAATTTCTCTCGTTTCATCAAATCATATATCTTTTGGCAATAATTTAAGAAGTGAAACTTGTCTGTCTCGACATTTGCAGAACATTTTACGTTGTTTGTAAATCTTTCTGTTTGGGAGTCAGACGCAGAAATGATTATTGTAATTTATTCCTGCCTGTCTGGTTCACATCTACAGCCATGGAACTTCTGTTAGCTCTTGGAAAACAACCCCAAAAAAGGAACAAGCTCAACTTTGTGCAACTAGAACAATACGGTGATTATTTATCTAATTTAATAAAGCCGATGGAAGAGGAGAGTGGTGGCTTTAATTAAAGCCTAATCACCTTCATATGAAAGCCTCCTAACTCCGATGTCAGACCTGTTTAGCTTTAGACATCTAGTACAAAAATATCAAATAACAGGATCCCAAATTTGATGTATGGGTCAATTTTACTGTTTACATACAGACCATATCAGCAGATAATCCACTTGGTTTAATTCGCTACCTTGCCCTTAAGAGTCTGGTTATTCTGCTGAAAAAGACACTGCCGGCGATTTTATTTTAACTCCGTCATCCCCAGAAAGTCCTCGGAGCTCAGACCTGAAAGAGACAGCATCGTCTTTTCCAGATCGTCTTGGCTGGTCGCTGCGCGGGAATCCGTCCAACGATTCCAGAGAATGTTACCCAACACCGTTTAAAAGGAAACGCAGGACAAGAGAGATTTCTGTTTCTTCGAATAAAACATTTTTTATTACCTTTAAGGTCCCTGAAAGTTTTTTTTTTTTTTTTTTCCATTTCCCCCCCTTCGTTCCCTCATCTCCTGGTAAAACTATTTAGAGTTTCCACTTTACAGAAGCCAAGAGTCGAGTAAAACCAGCAGACTTTAAAGAATCAGTGTCGGTGGTGCTGCTGTTCCTTTTCATGTGTCTATTAATTGTCAGGCATTGATCCATGCAGCCCAATCTTGCTAAGAAAATTTCTAGACTGTAGTTAATAGTAATAATAATAATTAAAAAAAAAAAAAGATAAGCTTTGATAACACTTGAGAGATTGAATTTATTTTGTATTTCCTAACCTTCTGTCTTCTTAGATGTTGGAGGACGATGCCCGCCACGGTGTTGGTGGGTGGGTGTCGAGCTGGCTCGGAGGCAGAGGAGCTCAGAGTGTGCCGACTACGCCACAGAGGCCCACCAGTGGGCAGGGGCTGAACTCGGTAAGTTCGGAACGGGCTGGGAGCCACAAACTTGCCTACGCCGCGCAGAACGGCAGAGAGTCGGAGAGTCGCATAAAAACCACCGGCTCTCTGCAATTTCTTTAGAATTCATTTAGCAACGAATGGAAACAAAAAGCTAGAGTTAAATTTAACTTCAAAACTATGACGGAGAGGAAATGGACAGAAGAAAAATCAACTGTGTGGGGCAGATTTTCCTGATCCAGTTTCTAGCAAACAGAAAAAAAAAACTTCCTGAAGAACAATTCTACGAAATATAAAATTGCACCTTCGTGCGTCTTCTGTACAGTCATTTATTTTAGTAATATTGATTGCACTAATGATTAATTGAATGAAAAATACAAAAACTAGAAAATTTTGCGGATTATTCATACAACCACGTATGTTTAACACAATGTTAAAATTGCATTAAAGGTTGCAAATAAACAATTTAATTCTTTTTTAAATAAAAAAAAGAAAATAATCATTTTGTTGCCTGAAATGCAATGACATTATTTCTTCAGTGAAGGCTTTATCATTTCTTGTGAATTATACATATGCGAGTAGAAATACTTCACACATCAACATTTGAAAATTTCACCTCTTTCTGTTTGACTCAACATCAATACGGTGAACAGCTAATAATGTCGACTACTATTGTTTGGCACAAAACGTGCCAAACAATAGTTTTTTTTTCTTTTCATAATTTGAACCAGGTGAAGCTAAAGCTATGCCACTTTAGCCTGTAAAACCCAGCTAACAATCAATCGACTACTCAACCAGTTTTAATAATCGATGATTAATCTGATTGATCGTTGCAGCCCTCGTCCTGATGAAGTTCTTTATTTTGCTGTGTGGAATATTTTCGATTTAATTGAATCTGTAAACTCACTCACTCATTCATTCAAACCTGCCGGCTCCCTCGCCTCCGCAGTCTTTCTCCGAGATGTTTGTGAAGTTCTTGGAGATGGAGTCGACCCCGTCGCTCCCGGCGCCGAGGCTCCCGGTCCACGACATCAAGCCACTGAGCGCACCGCCGTCCGGCAGAACCGGTGGCTCTTCTTCAGGCTCCGCGGGTAAATTGGCGCGCTTGCGAAACAAAACAAAACGCAGTTCAATCAAATGCTCCCAAAGTGAACCTGTTTCCATCACAGGAGCTGCGGCCGGCATCCGGAGACCCGGCGAATCCAATCCGTTCCTGGCTCCTCGTTCTGCTGCGGTGCCGCTGGTGGCCGGTTCTGGCACCGCCGGCTCGGGAGGTCACCTGCTGATGAAGCCCATCACTGACGCTCTGCCCACCTTCACCCCTGTGCCTGTCTCAGCTGAGGCCAGCGCTGGAGCCGTGCTCAAAGACTTGCTAAAGCAGTGACCGGGGCGACCCTCCCCCTCCTTGCCCCCCCGCTGCAAATGCCACACAGATGTCTTAATTTATCCAGTATGAGTTCAGCACTAAAAACAACGTAACGTTATTGGTGCGCCTCTGCTCCCTCTTGCTGCTGTTTTCATACGTCGAGCAGCAATAAACGATCAGATAAAACGCCGAAGCTTAAGATAAAATCTGGGAAAACTTGGAAACTACAGTAGGATTTTTCTTTTCTCTCTCTCTCTCTATGCAAAAGACAATTTATTATTTTCAGGTTCAGACCCACAAATTTGCATCTCACGCCAAAAGGAATGAATGAAATTGCAAAGCAGAGTAAATCCCAGCAGGTCTGAGCAAAAGTGACCTTAGAAACTCAGTGTTGGAGTGCAAATCGTGGGCTGAGGCTCTGCTTGCAAGAGGAGACATGCCCGTCGGGTTTCATCTCCTCCATTTGCATTTAACTGCTTGTATTTTCTTGTCCTGTTAGTATTACTTCAACAATTCAGCAAGTTTTCCTCTGATCCTGGGCGAAAACTAAAAGTTCTGGCAGCAGCACACTACATGGAGATTTATGCGAGTCAGTACATCTGCTGAAACCATAAGGATCTTTTTTCTTTTTTTTTTTTTTTTTTTCCTCGTTGAAAGATTTAGCGTTTTCCAGACGGCCAGACTGTGATATGCAATAGGCATAATTATGGCTGCTGACTGTGGTTTATCAGAGGGTTGAGACTGCTCTTTATGTTCACATACAGCACTATTATACAGTTACATATATGTAAATGGGTAATGTAGGTTTCTTCATTCTATTCTATTTTATTTAGTTGTAGGCACAAAGGATGCTTTGGAAGTCAAGTGCCTGCATTTTTTGGAAATTTGATAGTCGTATAATCAAAAGTGTAAATGCTTAATATAAATATATATTTACAAAATGTAAAACAAAAAGAAAGAAAGAGAAGGAAAATTCTGCACATTTTTAAAAGTTTTGTGTAATCGGATCAGCGTGCGACTGTGCCGCTCCACATTTTTGTACAGGCATCAATCAGCCACTGCAGAAGGAATGTTACAGGATGAGTCCAGGTGTGTTGATGAAATGTAAAAACAGTAAATCCTGAAGAGAATTTTTTTTTTTTTTTTTTTTTTTTTTTTTTTTTTTTTAGGTGTAAAAGAAATCTGAAGCGGAGAGAAAAAGATTCAGATTATCTTGGAGAGTCTTCGGCTAAGATCGGTACCTGTGACTTAATTAGGACTTGGCGTTAAATAAAGGAGCCACTGGTGACCCGGCTGTTGATGAGCTTTTTCTTGCAAACTGTTGCATAGAAAGGATTGACCTTTAACCTTCAAGTTGCAACAGGGTTTTCCAATGGCTACTTTCAGCTGTGTGATGAGTTCTCCTCAGTCAAACGACCTACAGCCACTGTATTTGAACCGAACGGAGCATCTTTGGGATGGGAGATCAAAGAAGACTCCAGTCACTCCAGCATGTAAACGACTTGAGAATAATTTAAGTTGTTTACGTGCTAAATAAAATTTACCTTTTTAAAACCTTGATACTAGAAACCAGTAGGGGTATCAGGATGCAACTTCATCACTCCCTATATGATACCAATATTGCCTCTTTGTGCATTGGCTGATACTGATGTTGACAATACGATATCAGCACAAATAATGCATTCTTCAAAGGCTTGATCAATTGACATTAGTCAGAGAACAGCTGACCTATTTATTATTATCCAAGGGGTCTGCATGTGGGATACAGGTGCTGCTGGATAGAAACACTGGAGCGGACCCCGTGCTGGAGTGGAGTGCTTCTATCCTCGTGTTTGTATCTGAGAATTTAGATGTAGGCTGATGTAATCTAATCTGTTTTTCAACTGATACGGACCAATTTCCGATTGGGTATCAGATTGGGACACTAGAGTGGTGCAATGTGGTCTTAGTTTTATCACAATATTTTATAGAACTGTACAATAAAAGACTAAGAACAATTCATTATTGCTGTTTGAGGTAACATTAGGTGACAAACAAACACGCTCTTAAAAAACAAACCCACTCAAAATATGCTTTTTTTTGTAGGATGTTAGTCACATGAAGAAGTGTGATTCATACCCCAGTCATTGCTTTCAATCATATTTTAATGACTGTCACTGAAAAAAGCAATGGAAAACATTGTAAAACTAATCAACCCAGCAATATAGAGGGTTTTTTTTAACTAATGGCATTTATTCTGATCATCAAAATGCTCACCGTGGTAAGACGTTTCACGATAAATGATAAACCGTACGATACATGCTCATCCGGACATTTATCGTTGATGGCCGTTTATCGCAGGTAAGTTTCCTACCTGTTGAGATGCCCTGATATTAGTTGGCATTTTTAACTAGATGTTTAAAAATCATCAAAGTGAATTTGAAAGTAGTCCCCTCCCTTACTAACATGAACTTTCAGAATCATATCATTCTTTGGTTTTGTTGTCGAGGTTTGTTTAACCCGCCATTATTACATTAATTGATAACTACTAGTTAGGAAGGAATCATACTACTAACTACTAGTTAGCTGATCTGACGTTACTTGGCGACTTTCCAAGCGTTTAAAGCACTAAAGCCACGCCCCTTTATTTTGCTATTCCTAGCAGATGGATTTAAAGTGTGAAGTGACAAATTGAGCTGTGACTTCATGTTCGTGGCTGCGTGTTTGTTTAATAATTATGTCATAAGTACAGAGTTTAGTCTCCGCTTGTTTTGAGGCCTTAAAGTGAGACTGTCGCCTCGTCTCGGCTGTACATTCGGTCCAGACGTGGGCGAGGAAAGTGGCTGTTTAGTGTCACTGAACTCGGCCGTGTGTGTGTGACCTGAGAAAACAGACACAGACACCCCCACAGTGTGTGCTGCGTGTCTTTCAGCTCCCGGACAGCACCGCGGTGGCCGCCCGGTCCGGTCCGGTCCGGCCCGCCCGCCGGGCTCAGTGCGCCGCCGCGGGGGCCGCCGTCCCCGCGCGCGCGCCCACCGCAGGGGGCTGGATCTCCTGATTGGATCCAGCTGTCGCTAGAAGAGCTCGGCGGGGGCCGTCACATCTGCATTGCTAAATGATCTGCGCAGCCCAGCGGCCCGAGCAGAAAACGGGACGGCAAAGTTGGGGTTTGTTTTGCCTCCTTTTGTTTTGTTTTTTTGATCGTTTTTCTTTCTTGGACCGAGGAAGTTCCTGTAAGGCTCGGTCAATGTGCCGAAGCTTCAGCTCGAGCACACAGCGGTTAATGAAAACCTGGTGTCGACTTTCGCGGAAGGGCGCGTAGTTGGAGCTGGAGCCCCGCCGGGATTCGGGTTTACGGGTCGTCTAAATCTTTTTATTTTATTTTTTTTTTTAAAAAGGGAGTTCACCAGGAGCCATTAAACAATGCCGCTGGAAACGCGCGCTCTCAGGTTTTGTTCTTCTCTAAGGTTGGTCTCTCTCAGTCCTCTCTAATCCAGCTGAAACCGTTTTTGTTTTTTGTTTTTTTTTTTTCTTAATGCGGTTTCTCTGCTCTGTTCGTGTCAGCAGGCGATGCTTCTGTCGAGCCCCAGCCAGCTGTCCTCCTCCACCAGGCTCCACTAAGCTAAAATCCCCCATTCGCAGGATGTTGGCCGCTCTGGTGTTCGCTCTGCTCTGCGTCCAGTCAGCACACGGACAGGTAAACTCCACTCGCCTCCCTTTCATTACGGTCCGAGTCCGAACCGGACACTCAAAATCCCGCTCGTCTCTCCTCAGCCCTGCCCGTACGGCTTTGAATATAACAGGAATTTAGGACAATGCTCAGGTAAGTCTTTTTTTTTTTGCATAAGTTGGCATTTTTAGAAAAAGTGAAAAATCACCAACTCTTGATGTGTTTTAGGGATATAATTTAACCCAAATTAACGTTCGATTGAGTACAACACTGAAAAGTGCGGCGTGTATTTATTTCTTCAAGTCTCCTGAAGTTTGTCCACTAAGTTGACACGTTTAGTCAAATTTGTATTCGTTTTTTTTTCTTTTTGCTTTATTTACTTGCCAAACTGCTTAATTACAATCAAAGTGGATATAGAGCTTGTTTTAAGTGTCAGTTTTGCTGTCTGGACTTTCACTAGGCCAATCCAAGAGATCAGTTTCCATCTCATGAGATTCGGGCAACTTCAGGGATTAACGCGCAACATCCGCAAACAAGATGCGGACTGAAAGCCTAGAGAATAACAGGGGTGGAAATCCACAAAAAATTTCAATTGTAACAAATAAAGACTATGAAATATCAAATAAAAAAACAACAATAAATAACTAAGAACAATGTTGTAACATCTGTTCATGATTCTGGTAGCCTCAGGAACGAAGCTGAGTCAAGCGAAGATGTTCAGCTGCACAGACGTCTTCCAGAAGGAAGTAAAAGTATTGGTGGGGGTCGCACACGATTCCTCCAGCTCCGATCCTTCAGCAGCTGACGTAGATGTCAAACGTCCAGTCATTTTGGCAACTGTTTTCACTGCTTTCATACCCAACCCTGAGCAGCTGGTGTGTCACACTGGGATAAATTTGCTCAGGATGCCCTCCAACTGTAAAAGGAAGTGAAGGAAACCAAGTCCAGCCACCTTCGGTTTCTTTCAGGAGACGGAGGCGTTGGTGGGATTTTCTCATGAAGGCCGCTGCGTTTGTTGACCACGTGAGGTTCTCAATGAATCTTGATTTTATTTTAGCTACGTACTTTCTTTTTTTATCTTTTTTTGGGTGGGGGGGTTGGGGGGGAATGAGTTAGAGAATCACATGTTTTCTGTATTGCATACACATCTTAACAGGACTCTTCATGGCTTTCATTCAACAATGTCTTTCCACCTGCTGCTCTTCTATAAAGGATGAATTTGTCATTTCTGTAAACAGACTGGATCTCTCCGCTACTCTTGCGGATTTACTGTGGACGTTTTTTGGGCTGCTTTTCTTGGATTTATAGCCTAGCCCTGCTTTCAAGTTCTCCACATCTTTGAGCCTGACTTGTCTGGAGCATTCCTTGGTCTTCGTTGACTAATACTTTCCAACAAACACCAGAGGCCTTCACAGAACAGTTGAATTTATCCCAAAATTAAACCGCACCAAGTCGGGGGCGGGCGACATGAACGTACAGTTTTATTACCATGCTTTGCGGCTCTACGGTGTTGATGACAAAAGTGACATGAACATCTGTTTCATTTGTATTTTGTTCTCTTTTATTTCTTGCGGTAGCTTTGTGGCTGTCATTGAATGGCACAGCATTAAGAGCACCACAAGCACAAATACTGCTCTTGACAAAAACATTCCCATTTGTAATATGCTTAGGATAATAATCACATAAAGAAATGTTGGTTTTTTTTTAATAACTAAAATGCACACATTAACTTCATTTAATCATACTTTCACATTTATTCAGATTTATTAAAGCACCTTTGTTGAACAAATACAAAAATACGTACTAAATTGGAATTTATTGTGACGACAATGAATCTAAAAAGTCTTTATGCAATAAAGACTTTTTAAATGATACAATATTGTATCATTGTATCATTTATCCCGATAAATGAACCGGACACTCATTGTATCATTTATCCCGATAAATGATACAATAAGACGTTATTGTATCATTTATTCCAATAAATGCCCACCCCTAACACCAAGATGGTTTCTGTTTACAAATTAGTCGACGGAAGGAAGAACCTGCATTTTTTTTCCTTTCCCGTTTATAAACGTGCTACTTTACATCGGCCTGGCCCATGATATCCCATTAAGAATGTATGGTATTATATGACTGTGTCATAAAATAATGCTCAAAAGTTCAAGGTGGAACAAATCGGTCGCCTAATGATAAACTGGGTGGGCCACCGTCTCGCAAGACGCGGGAGTTGCAGCAGGAATGTCCTCACCGCCGCTGCTCTCTGCCTTCCAGATGTGAACGAGTGCAGCTGGCCGCAACCGTGCCAAGGAGAGATGCTCTGCGTCAACCGCATCGGAGGCTACCAGTGCCTCTCCAGCGACTACTACGACCGGCCCTACAGACGGGTGAGCCCCGCCCAGCCTGAGCCGAGCTACCCGCAGCCCCCCGACAGAGTCCCGGACTCGTTTGCGCGGGCTCCCGCGAGAGCCGTGGAACCCAGTTACCCCATAGTGAGCAATCCCGCGCTGTGCACCCTGGGGTACGCTCTGGCGGCGGACGGCACCTGCAACGGTGAGTGACAGGCGAGCGGCTGTGCTCTTGAAGTTCAGACATGATGACAGTTTCAAAAGAATGAAAGATGGGTGAAGTGGATGCCT